TACTTGGGAGGCTGAGGCAGGAGACTTGCTTGAGCCTAGGAGTTGGAGGTTGCTGTGAGCAGTGAAACCACGGCACTCTACCCAGGGGGACAGCTTGAGGCTCTGTCTCAAAAAAATAAAAAGAAAGTAATACAATAAGTACAATGTGATTCAGTATTTTATAAACAGAAGTAAATTTAAGCATTTAAGAGAGACACTTTCTTCATTAGTTTATATGTGTACATATGTTTGATTCATTAAATTTCTTTCTTGTTTATTTTTTCCTTTTATTTTATCTGAATGTATAGTTAATTCTCATCATTTATGGTACTACGTTATATTAAAGTTGCCTTGAACACTATTAGCAAATACTGAACCATTTTTCCTAGGGAGAAATATGTATATCTGTACACATATCTTATATAAGTTATAATCTTGAATTCTCAAAACAACTCATTCTGGTGGGTTCTATTTTCTTTATTTTACAAAAGAGAAGAGGAGGTTCAGAAGTATTAAGGCACTTGCCTGAGGCTGTCCCATGACAGATATCTAAGCTGAGATGCAGACCCCTCCAACTGGCCCCAGAGCTAGGGCTTCTTGAACTACACTGCACTGCTGTCTACCATTTACATTCTGGTTAGCTGAAATAAGGGACAAAGTGTCACCTGTACTATCTCACCTGGAATGTGAGTGCTGGGTGGCCCAAAATTTTTGCTCTTCTACCATGTTCACTAATGATTGCAAATCATTCTTAAGAATTGATTTTGGGTTACAATGTATTTTTGCAAGTAGGCAAATTTATAAATATATCATCTATAGATATTGAGGATTGATTGCATCATTTTATTATTGATAAAGTGATTGGAAAATACGATTTAGATTTTGACCAGATGGGCTTATAATCAATACTCTTATCCCCAGAGATAAACTTTCCTACTCTTCACTGGTCACTGAGAAAGTTGGACAGCCCTATGTCTTCTTTCCTGATATAGGCTGTTTATACATGGAAGAGGAGGAAAAATATGCTTGTTCTAAGAACTCTCCAAAAGCAGTTTCTTTATAAGCATTGGGATTGTTAGGTGTGCTCACTTCCTGCACTTAAACAGGAAGAAACTGTCCTAGCAGATACAGTTGTCATTAGGATGAAGGCAATCTTATTTTTTTCAGGCATGCCTTTTCTCCAGAATAAACCTTTATTGTAACCATTACTCTCCTTTTTCCTACTTTTCCCTCTTCAAGTAACATACTACATAGGATTTAATGTTCTTGGAGAGATAATTTATAAATTAATATAAAAGGAATGAAGTAAATAATAGTAGCCTTTCTCTAAACTAGGCAAGGAATGGTCAGTTTCCCAAATGGTTTTGACTATGACACATAATAAAAAATACGTTCTACATCCTGATTCATTCATCACAGATACAGAGCACACATGAGGGCATGTGTGTATATATGTATATAAGAAATTAATATTACAAAGCAATATTTATCCTTCATATATTTAGCGTACTCTGACATTTCGTATTCTTTTTTGAGATAGAGTCTTCCTATGTAGCTCTTGGTAGAATGCCTTGGCATCACAGCTCACAGTAACTCTTAGACGTAAGCAATTTTCTTGCCTTAGCCTCCCAAGTAGCTGAGATTATAGGCGCCCGCCACACGCCTGGCTATTTTTTTGTTGCAGTTGTCATTATTGTTCAGCAGGCCCTGCCCAGGTTAAAACCTGCCAGCGTAGATGTACGTGGCCAGCGCCTTAACCACTGAGCTAGGGGTGCCAAGCTGTGACATTTCTTATTCTATTAAAAAAATTGGCAGATGAGACTTTCTGAAATGATTTCATGACCCCACTAATGGATAGTACTGTATGTTTTGAAGAACACTGAATTAGGCCACTAACGCACCAAATTGCAGATAATAGTTTCATGCCTGGAAGTATCTGAAAAATTAAGTCATTTCAAAATTGTGTAAGTCATTTATTTCAGGCTACAAATTAAATATTCTTTTGATTAGGTTTGTATTATAACTATGTACATGTCATTTTATACCACAGTTTAGTTTTTGGTGGACCTAATGCTGATTTCTGTCTTCTCCCTTTTCCAGTGACAAAGATATGGACATTAATCAGGAAGAACTGACTGGTTGTATTCTGAGAAAACTAGGTGAGACATATATTTTAAATTGTTTTCTTCATTTAAAGCAGAAGACAGCAGTAAATAAAGTGGCTTTGAGGTCCTGTATACATAGTTGTTTTCTTCAAATTAGCTTAGAGAATATTCTCTTCAGTGAATTAATATCCTTTTGAGATAGGATGCGTTACATTTCCCAGTTAATTGGCAGACCAGCAGCAGATAGAATGTGACTTGTCTATGGATAAAGTCATGGTAGAACTGAGACTTTTTAATCTTTATGCTTTTACTTTTTTTTTTTTTGGCAGTTTTTGGCCAGGGCTGAGTTTGAACCCACCACCTCAGGCATATAGGGCTGGTGCCATACTCCTTTGAGCCACAGGTGCCGCCTTACTTTTTTTTTTTTATTTATTTTTTTTTTGAGATAGCCTCAAGCTGTTGCCTTGTGTAGATTGCTGTGGCATCATAGCTCACAGCATCCTCCACCTCCTGGGTTCAAGCGATTCTCCTGCCTTTACCTCCCAAGTAGCTGGGACTACAGGCACCCACCACAATGCCTGGCTATTTTTTTGGCCATTGTTGTTTGGCCGGCCCGGGCTGGATTTGAATTGCCAGCTCAGGTGTATGTGGCTGGCGCCTTAGCTGCTTGAGCCACAGGTGCCGAGCCATTTATGCTTTTACTTTTTCTTGTGAGAAACATTGCCTTGGGTTGCTGGTTTAGGTGTGCCATTTTTGTTTATTTTTGGACATGGAATGCCTGGCTATTTGTTGATACAGTTCATACAATCTTACATCTATTGATTACAGAAGATTTGAAAGGATCATCTTCTCCCTTCTCCAGATAGTGCTATATTATAGGGGAATATTAGACCCTCTGCTTTTTATGGCAATTACTTTATTAGTATTCCATTTTTGATTTATATTTTTAGTCACATAGTTTTACTTTTCTTTTCTTTTGTTTTTTTGATACAGAGTCTTACTCTGTTGCCCAGGGTAGAGTGCTGTGGTGTTGGCCCAGCTCACAGCAACCTCAAACTCCTGGTTCAAGCAATCTTCCTCCTTCAGCCTCCCAAGTAGCAGGGACTATAGGCACCCACCACAATGCTCAGGTAATTTTTCTAGTTTTGGTAGAGCTGGGGGTCTCAACTTGCTCAGGCTGTCTTCAACTCCTGAGCTCAAGTGATCTTCCCTCCTTGGCCTCCCAGAGTGCTAGGATTACAGGTATGAGCCACGATGTCCAGCCGGATAGTTTGTTAATAGATGAAATGAATGGCTATTTAAACATTATACTGGTGAAAAAATTGTACTAACATACATATGTAATAAATTGTTTTATAGATGGCAAGATTATTTTACCAGGCAACTTTCTGTATTGTACATTTTATGGACGACCGTGCAAGCTACAAGTGTTGAAAGTGAAAGGGGCAGATGGCATGATGTTGAGAAGGTCTCAGAATGACTCTGCCGTGGATGCCCAGGGAATGGCCTCTGAACAGTCCAGCATGGAAGCCAGTAGCCTGGATTTATCCTTACAGCTAAGCCACTTAGATCTAGAAGAGCCTCAGATTCCAGTATCAAGAAGTACTCCTTGTAAACCAATAGATGAGAGAATTCTAAATAAAGTTGGTGACGTTTCATTGGATGTTACGCAGAGCCCTGGGAATGGCAGTGGACTTGGACTAGAGGACGTTGCAGGTGTTAAACGTAGCTTTGAGTCTTCGAGAGAAGGAAATAAGCAACTTACCAATGAAGAGAGACTGCTAAAATCTGCCAGTGTGGGAGCAAAGCGTAATACAGATGCTTTTTATTATATTTCGTCAACAACAAGAGTCAATTTTACAAAGATTCGTAGAAACTCAAAAGAGCAAGACAACCAATTCAGAGTAACTTATGACATGATAGGCGGCTTAAATAGTCAGCTGAAAGTAATTAGAGAAATGATTGAATTGCCTCTCAAACAGCCCAAACTTTTCAAGAGTTACGGTATGATTATTTTATTGTACTCAAAAATGTTAAATTCAAACTAAAAAACAATTGGTCACTTTCACTTACCTAATGGTTGCTCACCTTTTTCTGTTTTTATTTCTTGAATAGTAGAAGATCCCAGTTGCTTTGGGAAATGCCAGTTAAATGAGCTAATTTCTGTGCTTTGGTTTCTGTGGGCTGTAATGTAAGTTAGTGATAGCCTGTGTCTTCTAATAGCATATTTCCACAATTATTTACATTATAATGGTCTACAATAAGTGTCTTGTCATGTTAGATAGCTGTAATGACTAAAGAAATAAACTATCAAATACATTGGATAAAACTTCTTTGTTGGGAAACATAGCTGTGTGCCTGTATCTTTGCATTGAAGCAAGTAAAGGAGTGGCTTGACTCTTAGTATGCTCAGGGCTTTCTCTTTGTAGTTATTGCACACATCCTTTCCATGCATTTGGTATATGCTATCTCTCTTTTCCTTTTTTTTTTTTTTTTTTTTTTTTTGAGACAGAGCCTCAAGCTGTCCCCCTGGGTAGGGTGCCATGGCATCAAAGCTCACAGCAACCTCCAACTCCCTCCACCTCCTGGGTTCAAGCGATTCTCCTGCCTTTACCTCCCAAGTAGCTGGGACTACAGGCACCCACCACAATGCCTGGCTATTTTTTTGGCCATTGTTGTTTGGCCGGCCCAGGCTGGATTCGAACCTGCCGCCTTAGGTGTATGTGACTGGCACCTTAGCCACTTCTTGGATCTGTATATATAAAATGAAGCCTTGGATTGACAGTTTACTAGTGGACAGTTTACTACCAGATGGCTAGTTGGGACAAAATTGGGATTGGTGGCTTGTTTGTCTGTCCATGTTGTCTGTCTTTGTTTTCTGATCATTAAATAGTACTGTGGGAGAGGAGCCTGACAACAATGTGGGTATTCAGATTTTTACCAACATGCTTCCTCCATTACGTGGTCTACAGAGACAAAAAGTCATTGCTGGGGATTAGTGCTTGAGCTAGTTAGTATATCTTTCTAGGGGTGGAAAGAAGGTCTGACTCTTTTGTGATACAAGGTAAATTTACATTTTATAACTTGTGTTTGAAGTCATATAATAACAGTTATAAGAAACCTAGTAATGCCGAATCCAGTGTGCTCTTCTTTTTCTTCTAGGAATTCCTTCCCCTAGAGGAGTGTTACTCTATGGCCCTCCAGGTACTGGAAAGACAATGATTGCCAGGGCTATTGCTAATGAAGTTGGAGCCTATGTATCTGTAATTAATGGTCCTGAAATTGTAAGCAAGTAGGTATATGATTTTGTAGAGTAAACTTAAAATTATTAAATATACTTCTCAAATGTGGTTTTTAAAAATGGCTGGGGATATTCTGTCTAAATATTTCATACGTTGAAGTTTTTTAAATTTGCTCTTTAATTTGTATAAAAATTAAGTTTAGAAAATAATTTTTGAAAGTATTTTAAATATTCTAGAAATATTTGACAATCAGATTAGCTTTTATAGATGAAGTTCTAAAAATAATAAGAAATCCTTAAATGTATTTTATTTGTTACAGATTCTATGGAGAAACTGAAGCAAGGTTACGTCAGCTATTTGCTGAAGCCACTCTACGGTACTCTTTTATATTTAAATGTTTTGGAATTAAAAGTCAAGTCTGTGCTAATCTAAGTGAGAGACTAGTACTTCATAGAAAGCATAAACAATAGTACAAAAATAATAGTGATAGCACTAGAAATAGATTATAGATCTGATATAATTCTACTGTATTTCTGTCTAATATTATAGAAGTTTGATAAATGAGTTATTAAATTACATAGGTGAATTAAAATAGTTGTTAAGTCATGTTCTTGCTTGAGCATATAAATCTGTAACTTTCTTTCATTAGGGTACTTGGGCATATCTATTATATTTAGTTC